TAATTCCTGGAGCTGTCACTCTCCTGACTTTATATTAATGTCTTGTATACTACACTAACCCTAGCCAACTAAACTAAGTACTTAGCGTATTTGCGCCCTCAGCACGGTACACTTCTAAATACACTGGTGAGAACCGCTGGTAGAATGCCAGTGACCGATTCTCTACCGCAAGAGAGCTTTCCAGCAGAATACAACTTAGTATCAGCCTGTGGGTCACTCAAGCGTTAGTGCTTACGGGGGAAGGTTTTTACTCAAAGGACCCATAAAGTCAGTGGACTGTGAAATGTGTATTCAAATTTGTATGTAATCAATGTCTGATCCTAACAAACCGTAGGTTTGTAAGCGCTACTGATGGACCTAACGCATAAATAGTGAATATATAAACACTTTTATATATTCACTATTTATGCGTTATATATAGATAAGTATGTATGTCTTCACCAAGAGTCCTAAGGTAACAGACGGAGCCCTACGCGTAGGATCAACGGTTCAAGGCGGTGGGATTATCTTAAAGCTATCGGGCAGGCTCACTGATAGCAGGCGATAATTAAGGGCTTGAAGGAGTCTTCGCTACTTTGAGAGGAAGCGAGCAAGAATAAGACAGACATCCTAAATACTAATTACACCAGCACCCATTCACACATACATAAAATAATTCTCGTGAGCTGCTGATGCATCGCGCACCTTCAGCTGTTAAAATTTGGAGCCACGTGAGCCACGTCAGCAGTCGGTCAATGTTCTAGTGAAATCTGAACATAGCCCAAATATCAAACATTCTTCAGATTGAACCGACCAACCGACCGATTGAAAAGACAACAGGTCTTAATTTTGCTCACTGGAATTATTATTATTAATGTCAGAATATGTGAAAGTAGTATTTAAGGTGTAATTTATATATAATAAATCAGATTTGAATATTATTTTTATGCATTTGCATCCTCTCAAAGTAGCGAGGACTCCTTTGAGTCCTCATCGTGGTGACCCTGAGAATGGTTAGCGTGTAATTTCAAACCTGTGCGTGGGTCGAATCCAGGCCGTGCATCAATGCGCTAAGGGAATCATGGCAAGGATGTCAATAACATGTTTCAAATTTGACTCTCGACTCTTAAGGTCAGTACTCACTATTATCGGTATTACTCGATCGAGCTAAACTGTCGAGTAAAACCCATGGCATGGGCTTTCGTCCACACATTGAGCATTGATCTATCGAGTGAGGCGCGCCGCTCAGTATTCACCGAACCGTTCGAGCCAAAGGATGTCTGTGCAACAAAGGAGACGGTGGCTGTATTTAGCAAGTCTCACAGTGCTTTATAAGAAAATCAAAGAAAATGAAAAGAAAAAACGTAAAAGGAGGTACTTTACGCTTTTGGAATAAACTCAAATCCATTTCTCTTAAAAACACGTGTTTCAATCAAGATATACAATACCAGACTGACGCTCGCCTCGCGCCACTCGCAGTCACGTACACACGTTCGAGGCAAGATTGACGGCTCGCTTCGAGTAGGTTCGAAGGAAATTACTTTCATTTAATTCCATTCCAGCCGGCTCGGTGCGAGCCTTCGAGCTGTGAGTTTTGGGGTCCACACGATGATTTTTACTCGACTTCGTGTAAAACTATCGAGTAATACCGTATGTACTGACCTTAAATCTTACGCATCGGGTCGTTGCGCCACTGTGTCATTATTACCTGAACATAGATGGCGCGCTGAGCTATTTGTTTGATTGACCTTTAAGGCTAGTATTCATGGAAACATCAAACAGGTAAAGATAATTATCGTGAGGACCCTTGGATATGTAATCCGTTAAGATTGGGAATTCACAACTAATTAACCCTCACCTGCCTTAAGCCAAGCAATTAGGACCTCGATGTCATTTTATTTTACGACGGGTCCAATGGAAGGGTTCAATTTGGATTTAAATGTACTTTAGGTTAGGGTTAAATTCTATATATGTATGTGCACGGCTTAATTCTTCAAGAAATGTTGTTCAGTTAAGGTTAATTAAACAAAAACATAAAATGTCTAAAAATTTAAATATTTTTCTAAACGTGCTCACAGGTTTTTTGAAACCTTATGCAATATTTCGGTTTATTTACTATACCAACGATTTATTCACTCGGCTTCTCAAAAGCCGAGTAAAGCGGGCCATAGACGGACCGCATGTTGCAGTCAAGACCGACTGCAACAGTCTATGGCCGGCTTAAGGCCTCAGGAGCAAGGCACGGAACACAATTAAAAAATAATAATCAGTGGCGCTACAACCTCTTTAGGTCTTGGCCTCAGATTTCTTAATCTGTTTCATGATCATTTTTAAATTTAACCAAGATCACCAAGTAGGTGATCAGCCTCCAGTGCCTGACACACGCCGTCGACTTTTTGAGTCTAAGACATGCCGGTCTCCTCACAATGTTTTCCTTCACCGGTCGAGCAAATGTTAAATGCGCACATAGAAAGAAAGTCCATTGGTGCACAGCCGGGGATCGAACTTACGACCTCAGGTATGAGAGTCGCACGCTGAAGCCACTAGGCCATCACTGCTCTGGAACACAATTTAGCGTTGGGATATTTCTCATACCAATCGCAAACTACTTGGATGGAATTAGTTCAAATATTTGTTCAATGTGCTTCGGCCATATACGCTTAACTTTTGATCTTTAATCCAAGAATTGTTTCCATAATTGGCAGCGGTGCATTTTGTGTTGCTCGTTGGATTTCACAATACTATGTGATTTAAATGTGATGACAAAGCAACTGTAACTATGGCTCTTGTAAGTTCTGCACTGGTCAAAAGCCTAATGCCTATTTATTTGCCATACTTTAAAATTCAAATAGGTTACAGCCTGCCACGTACGCCGCACGTATGGACTGAACAGATAATTTTATTGTTAAAAAGAAAAATCACACGTGCATGTGAGAGTATGCTCGTATATAATGTGTACCTTATGTCCTGTGTCTCTCGCAGTAGTTTTTCAACAAATTAGATATTTTTATAAAACAATAAATTGCAAGTCAATGCCAAATGAATACAATCTTGCTTAGTAAATAAACGTTAAAAAGGTTGTATATAGATCAAATAACATAATATATGGAAGTTATAGAGTCCTAGAATAGTTATCAATCATTTGGCTTAATTTTATTGTGTGCCATTCCGTTTATAAGTTCGCTATTTGTGATCAATATGTATAATATGTACGTATGAAATAAATGCCCACATCAGATATATAATTATCAATCTATCATAATATAAGCTAAAGCGGGTTTATATCGAGAGCTTTTGCTAAACTTTAGAGCTGTGTTTGACGGTTTGATATACGGGTGCCATTGTGATTATAGGACTGAGATAGGGGATCGGTTTCTATATCTTGCCTTTGATGATTCAATAGTAGAAGATAATGCGTACATGTTATATTCGTATCGTAGAGTGTCAAAGAAGGCATTGCTCCTACAGTGTGTTTTTTAGTATAATCAGTCCACTTTCATATACCACTCTTGCTTTTATAAGACTTTTAAATATTTTCTTGTTGTTTGAAGTAAAATATGTAAGAAAAAAGTGTTACTGTCATTTAAATACTGAAAGCGTATTTACAAGCTTTTTTAAGCTGCCGCTTGGAAATACCTTTGTATCAAAGAAGCTAGCTGAAAATTCTTTAAAAATTTATCCAAAAACATAAGTAAAAATAAGTCTTAATGCGGTTTTTTAAATATTTCTCTGATATAGGTTACAATTATCTCTCATGTAGGTAAATAATTGTTCCTTACTTTAATTATTCCGCTCAGTCTGCCAACTAGAAATCACTGTCTCATCTTTGAAGATAGAGCTTAGATGAAACAGGTTATTCTCTTGAAAATAGTTTATATATTTTTTTGTTACAAGGACTCAATTGCCGTTGTAGTAAGTTTTTCAGTCAAGAATATTCTTTCAATAGAAAATTAGTTACTTGAATTGAAATTGTTTCTCAAAAATCTTCGCATTGAAGACAATGACGTGATTTGAAAAAGGGGATGGAAGTTAAAACAATTGATTCGTTAGCGCAATGTTGATTTTACGCGGCGACGAGCTGTTCAGAATAATAAGTACGTTTTTATCAACGATTATCAATTACTTCTAAACCACAGCTAATGCTGACAATTTTAATCAAAAACAGGTATTCAAATGAATACCACAAATTAAATTATGAATGAAGTTTATACTTACAAAAAACGTCCGAAGATACACCCTTGAACTTTTACGTTTAGGTAATCAGTATTTAGGATAAGATGATAATAATTTAACAATAAACGATACATGAAATTAATAATAAAACAATAATGTTTCGAATCCTATATCGTCATCACTAATCATGTACATCCATGTCCTAAATATGTATATTTTCTGCAGCTGCGTAAACAGCTTAAGGCTCGTCATGCTCTCTTAAATGTCATTGCTTGTGGTGGCATCCATGCGACGGGTTGTCCCTTTCCCCGCTCTCTGCCATGCGTCGTGTTTGTGAACGGGTGCTACTTAGTCACTAGTCGTACTTGAACTTGATGTTATTTATAATTTCAACCGTTTTTATATTTCAACACTTTATACGTTTTACCTTGATCGAATACATGTTTCTAATTTGCCCACTGATACTAAACAGTTGTTACTTTATTATTATAACATTTTGTTTCAATGTCAAGTGAAGCATGGTGTAATGGATGCAATTACAATATCCTTGTAAAACAAAAACTTGGCGATTTTTCAGCGAGTTTCTTGCCAGTTCTTCTAGCCGGCTCTATGCCCTTAATTTTGGAACTGGTAGTAAATGTGTTTTTTTTAAAATATTGACTGTATAGTGCACATAGTTGGATATTATGCTGCGAATAATAAATAAAAGTCAGTTATTGACTTCTTATTGTAAACCAACATTATAGATGTTACGGTGTGAGCATTCTCTTTGGTTCGTAGGCATAACTTTTAAATGTTCAGCCATCTTGATAAGTCTAGACTAGAGTTAGACAATGCAATAATTTATAATGAACCAGGCGTGGCCTCGACACTCCTTTGGACACGCCCAATCTCCCGCCTACGAAATCAGTCAGTTCACTTCTGATAACTGCTACGACGCTACGTTTCTCGGCTACGAAATTATTTTGACTTGCAATGCTTCATACATATTAAAAATCGTCAGACATTTTGATGATTATTCATCGAGACTCATAAGATTTTGTTAGTGATCATTTTTTAACTGATTAATTTATATTTATTAAATTGTTTTCGTCGTTGTTTACATTGTTGTTTACAAACAATTGCGTAGGGTCAGTGACTTGGTGCGACCTTGAGACTCGTGTTAATAGTGTAGTGATTAGTGACTTTCTTTGATAAGAAACATAAATCTCATTACTAGTATTTAATTAAACATTATAACACACCTATCTTTGAATAGAAAACTTAGACACAAGGTAATCTTTGTTAATGATATAATAATTATTGCCATGTGACTTTTTTGCAAAATATTGGTGGAATTGTTTTAAAATATTCTCAAATGAAATAAAAATTCAAATTTCAACCCATTGAGCAAATTTCGGAACCCTTCAAAATGCAGTAGTAAACGACAATAAAGTAATAACTACTGACTCTTCAATGGTATTTATGCAAATAAAACTAGAAGATAATTAATCGTTAATTCATAACTTTAAATAATTTAAAACAAACATTAAGTAAGGTGTACTTTTAAAAGAGGGAATCAAAACAATCAAATTGGATTCTAGAGGTTCCAGTTACCCCCATCGGGGGGAGACAAAGAAAGGACCAAAAACACTACTCGTCCACCCATTTGAGCAGAAACAGACGAGCAAAAAATACCTGCTAGAGACACCTACGGATTTAAAACGAAAACCTCTCTTGGAGCTGCCGAAAGATTCGAAGAAACCAAAACTCTACCAAGAAACAGACGATGATGTAATTGAAATGAAAACATCAGAAACTCAAAGTGAGGAAAGTGTACCAAAGTGTCAGCCGTGTCACCACTGCTGTTGTAAAAGTGAAGTGACTGAGGTAAAGTGCAAGTGTGAGACTGTAAAGGTGATCTTTGCGCCAGCGATGATGCCTTCGCTGTACAACCCGATGCCAGGAATGCCGTATATTCTGAAACAGCCAGTCAAAATTTGTGATAAGGTATGTAAAGTGTTTTTCTGTGTTTTAACTAACCGAGAATAATTGGGGCAAATACCAAATTTGATAACAAAAATTGACATCCAGTGAAAGTAATTATTAATTAAGCGTCATATGACAGGTTATCACAACACATTAAAAGAGCCATACTGCGAGTACAAAATGTTAATGCCCGGTATCGTTAGCAAATTTTGATACGGCATTGCGATGTGCGGTATCGTGAACTAGATTAGATCTACAGTAAGCTTAAAAGTGGTCATCCTGGCCATAACTAGCATGACTACGTGATTAGCGTAATTCAAACCCTGAAGTCAATGTTAATTAAATCTGCTGGATGACTTTTAATTTGTGGCTAAAGTCAAATGTTATTTAGTATTCGAATCATTTTTTTTCTATTAAATTCGCGTTTGTTGAAATATCACGTGTTTCCTTATTTTAATTTTGTTTAATTTTTTTAAATCAAGTGAAATTGCAAAGAACACGATTAAAATGCTTTATTGTTGCCATGACGAGCAGATTAAAGAGAAAAATTTACGATGTGTAGGGATTAGATCAAGATTAGACTTTATATTCCTAAAAAAATAAAGTTCACCAAAAATAACGACCAAATTTCTATATGTTTTCACTTATTAATTTTAAATATTACGTAAAGTTTAGAGACAGACGTACTATTTCTATAGTTATAGGTATTTTAACACGTCAATCTCCTCGAAAGCCTATTCTTATCCGGCTTTGAGCTGCAACCACTTATCCGCATATCCGGATCTAACCCGCCAATAAATTCTTCAAGTGTCTTACAGTCTTAGGCTTTTCTTAAGTTTAACATCTCGATTGTTTTGTGTGATTAAAAACACATTGAGCCACATTTTTATTTTAAAAATCTTATATAACTAGTCTGGCCATAAATACTGTTACATAAAAACTTTTCTGTTTTCAACTTTTTATTTATTAGGTATATAGAAAACGTATAATATCTTAAAAACTTCTTTCGATTTTGCGCCCTTTTGCGACTTTCGATATTCTTTCGTGTTTATTATGAAAATTACAATATGGAATGGGGGGTTAAAGAAAATAGAATTGCAGTGATCGCCTTGCACGCCGTCGGTCATATTCAAGACACTTTAAAAGGTTGCTATCAGCCGTATGTTCGTATATCGTACTATCAACATATACAACAACACTTCTTGAAGACCAGAAAAGATCATTGCGGCCGCGTGCTGTTAGAACTACAAATGCTGTTAGTGCTGTTAAAGCCAGAATTCGTTGAAACCCCATTAGGAAGCAAAAAATCTTATCTCGAGAATTGAAGATTCCAGCTAGGACTCTGCAGCGTATGACAAAACAACATTATCGTTGATATACAGGACATGCCCTAAATCAATCTTTACATTTAAAGAGAGTAGATTGATCAAAACGCCTTCTGTCGCGATACGCAGATGAAAAGCACAGAAATATTCTCTTTACCGATGAAATAATTTTCACGATTGAAGAACACCACAATAAGGAAAATGATAAAGTGGTCGGAAAGGTTCAATGTGGTCATCATCCTGCGTCAGTGATGGTTTGGTGGGGCGAGTCTTAAGGAGTAGAGGAGTGTAATGAAAGTAATAACAACTTATTTCTTACGTTAAATGCAAATTAACAAAAACACTGTTAGCATAACAAAATTCTAAACAGATGATTAATATCATCTGTTTAGAATTTTGTTAATAATTAACAGCAATGTTAAATTTACCAATGTTATTTTTAACTAATGAAAAATGTATATTTAACAAAATTTAACATTTAGTAATTAACGTTTTGTATAACGTGTTATTTTTTGATAACATTTAATGCGTTACAAGTAAAATTAACATTTAATCCCACTTCTATCAAGGAGTGACTCCTTAAAACTACATTTTTGTGAAAAAGTGTATCAAGATCAAAGTCTTGAATCATGTTGTGAAACGGCTTAGCAATACACTTTTTAAAAATATACCGTGGACGTTCCAGCAGGATTAGGCTTCTGGTCACAAGGCACGAACTACCCAAGCCTGGCTTGAAAGACTTGCCCTCATCTATCCCAAACCTCAACCCTAGACTTGAAGTCTAAAACATCATATTATGGCAGTTTTAGAGGACGCTTGCTCTAAACGACATGGCGACATTGAGTCTTTGGAGCAAGCAGTGGCGAACAGATTAAAGGCATGTATAAAAGCCGAAGGTAACCATTTCGAATAGAGTATTGTTTAATTTTTCCTGAGACTTTAATAAATATCTAGGTATAAATTCTAAGATTACTTCATTAAAATGCATTTTCGATTGTAACAGAACATATGGCTGGACTAGGTATAATATAATAAAAACAACTATAAACCCAGACTCAGCTCATTAATAAAATCTACTTTGTGAGTTGTAGAAATATATTTTAATTTGATTATATAAAGTAACAATTACATAAATACCTTAATGATATTTTATATAAACAACATACTTGTGTAAAACAGAAGAATTATTAAATCCAAAACCTTAATGTTATAAAATAATATTTATTTAAAATCAGAAATCTAAATTGGGTTTCGATTCGTATATCATTTATTCAATAGACTTATAGTTGAAATTGAAAGATTGTGACACTATTGTGTATTTTTTTCATCAGGGACCAAAAACACTTTTAGAACATTTGTACATTCCTTATTTAATAAGTAGAAATGTTAAGATTCATTAATTTAGTAATTGTTAAACGTTAGATCCTGTAAGTACACGTTCTCGAAGCAGCTACGAGCCGCGCACAATTCGCTGTAGCATAAAAACCCTATGAATAAAATAACAATTGTCTTATATTTATCTGCCGTAAAATGAATGCTAGTTGTGTTACACACACGTTTCTTCGCACATGTTTATTCATTTACTTTTTAAGAAAGGTTTTTATGGAAATTATTTGATTTTAGCAAAACAAACTAAAAAATATAAAATTGTGTGTAAATTAAAAATCATACGTATTGTTAACAATGTTCGTAACTCTAGTGCCACGGCCTGAATCCCGTGGAAACAAAATAAAGATAGGAACCGCAAACAACGATCTACCTCTCGGGTTAAGTATCGATTAAGAATTGATGCCTTAGAGATCTCTGGTGTTGTGTATATATTTTTATAGTATTTTCATATTAACTACTTATTTCATTCAAAATTTCTTAAAAAAAATCGCAAATCTTGTGTTAAATAAGATTTGTTGGATTCTTGGAACGTAAAGAGTGTAACATATTCATCGCACGAAGTAACGCCGCATAAAGGGTACACCTACACCTTTGTGTAAAGGGTGTTTCACAAACAGTCAGTATATTCACTAAAGTATGAAAACAGCATTTTGGACAATTCCATTCACTCATTGTACACATATAATATATAACCCTGTACACATAAATAAAACATTGTTTGTCTCTAAATGTGCTGTAACGTGTTCTTACAAAAGTTCTGCGAAATAGTGAAGTTTTAATACCATATTCTTTTTATATTAGATGTAATCGTTTTATTTGGGAAATATATATTGCTCTAAATTCAATGCAAAAAATTAAAATTAACACATTTTTATTAGTAGGATAGGACTATAGTATATTATATATAGGCATATTCTAGGTAAATACAGAAACAGCATAATTTTATATGCGTCAAATAATACTTAATAAAACAACACCCCGTACTCATAAAGTAAAGCGAAGCCGCCATAATAAAGTGAGTTTTGACTTTTATAGCCTCTACGTGAGGAAGTGCGGCGAGTGGGTTTGATTCTCGATAAACACATTTATTTTAACTTCTAAGCTACTTAAGTTTAACGTTCTCTTGGTTCAGTGGATTTGGTTTTATAGTTTTTATTAAGTTGTTGGTTCTTTTTACTCGTTCCTTTGTTATATAAGATAGTCGTTTACCAATGTTGTTATGCAGCTAATGAAAATAATCTAGTGTCATTAACTGCGTATGATTCTTTGTATATCAACTACAATATCAATTACGCCTCCAATAAACATATACATTATTAAAAATTGTGCAAAACCTTTCAGATCAGACACATAACAATTCATTTTCAAATTTCATCTCTAAAAATTCGATTGAAATCGCTTTAAGGGCCACTGACTATCGCATTTCTAACATTAGAAAAGACAACGAGACGTGCCTTGGTACAAAGAGTGACCACAAATACCCTTTATATAAAAATAACAGAGTTATCGCGTCCGGCAGAGGGATTAGACCTCACATCAAAACTAACATTATCTTAGCGGAGCTGCGGCCTGAGATACCGCTACTGGATGGTCGGAACGACAAGTGTTTTCTATCATCAAACAATATAATACATAATATAGAGAACATTGATGTCGATCAAATTACGAAGGTAATAAATAACGTTTTTGAAGTGAAACTTCTAGCCCATGAGGGTAATTTTTTTACGGAACGTCACGAAGATGTGCAGCGTTTTTGTCGAAGAAAAGGGAGAGAGCGATTGAGACCGATTGAGAGAGAGAGTGAGAAAGGGCGAACGTAGCATGAAGCAACATGCTATTGGTTGATGTATTCGTTTAGTAGTTACATTATACATATTTGAACTTTAGATGTCAATTCTGTCGCATAACGTCTTGCGCAGTAAACGCAGATTTTTTATTTATTAATATTATCATTAGCACATATACAGTGTGTAAACAGTGTGAATATAGATATACAAACACATGTAGTCTCTTTCACCAAATGAGAAATTTGGTGAATTTTTCTTTATTTTACTTTTTTCTTCAATATTGTGGTGCAATTATTCATACTTGAACACCGATGGTGTTTTTAATACATATCATTATCATTATTATTTTATTAAGTAACAACTAATTATAGTTAGGTACTACTTCGGAGAGAGTCAATAAATACAAGTACCTAGGCACATGGGAGTCTGAAATTGAAGTGAAGACCCGAATAGAAGTTGTTCGTGCTTCCTTCAACTAAAATCAGAAAGGTACTCTTCAACAAATACATCAGTTTTCACCTCCGAAGTAGGATGCTTCAATGTTACATCTGGCCAGTTGTAA